ACACACACACACACACACACACACACACACACACACACACACACACACACACACACACCTCCTGCGTGGCCCACGCCATGGTGGCGGCGCGTTGCAGCTGCACCAGTTCCATTGCGTTGTTGTTGTTCTGTCACACAACAAGCGATAACCAGCAGTCAGTGGCTTATTCGTTTTGTGTGTGTGGAAATGCCAACAACGGCCGTGATAGCGGTTCTTCTCTCCTCGTTCTGACAACGAGACACTTTCCTGTTCCCAACCAATCACACACAGACACAGACACAGACACAGACACAATACACAAACACACAGTACAGACACAATCACACACTTCACACGCTGTACACACGGCACTGCTGTCACTGCTGTCACTGCTTTGTATTTGGTAGCTGAACTTGAGAGACGACAGTTAAGGAGACAGGAGGGCATGAGGAGACAGGAGGGCATGGGGGATGTGGGAGGGACGGGTGCGTGACAGCGACGAGACACATGGACAGCCTGTTGATGGCAGGAAGAGGTGGACGAGAGAGGATGGGGGTGCAAGTGGGAAGGGAGACACTACACGGCGAGCCGTGCAGTGCAAGAATGCCTTTCACACAACAGCAGAGTGTGCTCAGTTGTCGAGGGAGAGGGACATGCCGAGGTTGTGGCCGCCGCTGGTGAGGTTGTTGCCGACAAGCTGTTCGTGACGCACGAGGGACAGAGAGAGAGAGAGAGAGAGAGAGAGAGAGAGAGAGAGAGAGAGAGAGAGAGAGAGAAGAGATGGGGGGGGGTGTTCATTGTGTGAGGTGGGGCGAGGAAGCGAAGAACACCAGGGCAACACCAAACCAAAGCCTCACAAGCAGGCACCTCAACAATGGTTCTTACAATTAAAAAAACAAACAAACAAACACACACACACACACAGCAGGCACACACACACACACACACACACACACAGCAGGCACACACACACACACACACACACACACACACTCTTCCCCCTTGACTGACGTTGGCGGCGAGGGTCATGGTGACACCGGGGCGGAGCTTCTGCACGTAAGCGAGGCCGAGGTTGAGCTTGTTGTCGACCTTGGCCTTGACATATGCAGAGTCGTCCAGCTGCAGGCGGCCGGCAACGCCGAGCTTCGTGGCGCCCGTCTTGGACCAGCCAAACTCAGCACCAGCCTGCACCGTGGCGCGGGGGGTGTGGAAGAGCTTGATGTTCACGTCGCGGCCATCCGTGCTGTTTCAAGGCAGCAAAAGGGCGGGCGGTGGTGATAGTGATGGGGAGGGCGCGTTAGAGGTGATGGGGATGATGATGGTGATGATGTGATGGCGCGGCCGTGGCAAGCACCACAAATTCGCCATTCACACACACACACACACACACACACACACACACACACACACACACACACACGTCACTTCACTTGTAGCAGCTGCAGTTAACCACCACGCCACCACCACCACCGCCACCACCACGACTTACACAGTGGAGGTGATGCTGTAGTCCTGCTCCACAAAGGCGACGCCAACGGAGGTAGACTTGAGGTTGGTGGAGGCGCCAAAGAGGAACTTGTTGTAGGAGAAGACGCCAGAGCCGGAGACCTTGCAAAAGTCTGTGTCGAGGGTGGCGGCAAACTGGTCGCGGACGAGCGAGGACTTGAGCTTGATCGAGTCAAGCCCCGAGGTGGAGGGCTTGAAGCTGGTGGTGAGGCTGAGGTCTGTGCCGGGGGTGAGGAGGTTCTTCCTGGACACCTCGGTGGCGACAACGTTGCCCGTGGTCCACTTCTCCTTCACGTTGAGGCCAGAGGCCTTGTGGGAGAACTTGGTCTCAATAAGACCAGACACGGAGCCGTCCTTGTTGGAGCGGGTGCCCTCAACCTTCAGGTTCTGTTTGGGAGAAGAGGGGGGGGGGAGAACCGGGAAAAGGTGAGTGAGCGCATGAATGCATGTGTGTATGTGTGTGTATGTGTGGATGTGTGTGTGTGTGTGTATGTGTGTATGTGTGTGTGTGTGTGTGTGTGGGTTTGTTGTTGCTGTTGCTGGTGGTGGCGCTGTGACAATGCTGCGGATCATACACGCTGGCGCTGTGCACAGCAGCTTGATGCAAGCATGCATCTGAACAACGACATCAACACACAAGCAAACAATTGCACACAAAAACAAGTGCACGCACAGTGCCGTTGATGGCCTTAGACTTGAGGGTGAGCTTGTTGGCCGAGGCGTCTGGAAACAAGCACAGCGAAGGCACACGGTGAGGAAGCAGAAGGAGTGCAGGAGGGGGCCAGTGCGCAGGCAGAAGAATGCCCGCAGAGGAACAGTGCCACTGCCAAGCGAAAGTGCATGATGATGTGTGCTGTTGACGCACTGAAGTCATCGGAGAAGAGATCGGCGCAAGCCTTGCCGAGGTCAGAGAACTTGGGGGTTGCCATTGTGTTGGTTTGAGTGATGGGGTACTGCATGTGCGAAGAGACCGGAGGGGGGGGGAAGAGCAAAGGAAAAGCAGGAACGAGGAGCAAGCAAGCAAGCAAGCGAGCAAGGAAGCGAGCGAGCAGGTGAGACAGTTGCACTTGTGAGGCGGTGTGTTGCGGCGTGATGTCAGTGTGTTTGTGGATGTTGTTGTGTCGGTGTTGTTGTTGTTGATGGGAGCGCACCCTAACACTGCATCATCAACACCATCAGCCGTCATTGTACTGCGCTGCACTGCTGGCGTTTGCACCGTCGTCCCTCCACGCACCCAGCACCACCGCCAGCACAGCAAGGTCAACAAGCACCTCACCAGTCTTGATAAGCACGGGCAAGCAACGATTTGGGGGCTGGAGATGGTCGAGTGTTTGTGTGTGTCGCTGCCGCTTCGCTTGTTTGTCTTTCGGCAGATTTTTCGCCGCCCGCGAATCGTATATTGTGCACACCGACATTTTTCGCGGCAGCGCCACCATTTTTTGGTGGCAGTTGATAGTCGACGCGCAACTCATGGAAACAGCACAAGATGATGACTACGGCGAGGTGTGCTTGGTGTGTGTGTGTGTGTGTGTGTGTGTGTGTGTGTGTGTGTGTGTGTGTGTGTGTGTGTGTGTGTGTGTGTGTGTGTGTGTGTGTGTGTGTGTGTGTGTGTGTGTGCTTGGTGTGTGCGTGCGTGTGTGCTTGGTGTGTGTGTGTGTGTGTGTGTGATGGCACACAAGCTCAGCGAAGGTAACCGCTGTCAGGTACGTTGCAGGACAGTGTGTGCGTGTGTGTGCGTGTGGTGGAGACAGGGTGAGGATGGGAAGCAAAAAGCGACGCCAACAAAAAGAGCGAAGTGCGACTGCAAACATCACTGGCCTGGCAAACGCGCAGACACAGAACCGCAGGCAGGCAGACAAGCAGGCACGCAGGCAGGCACCCACGCACATCCACAAACACACACATCCACACATACACACACACACACACACATAAACACACACACATACATGCGTTCACACCCCGTCCCTCCGTCACTCACACCATAGCGCGACAACAACGTACGGGAGTTTGATGGACATGAAGAGGCGTGTTGCGAGGAAGGTGATGAGAACAAGGCCGCTGCCGAGCGCAAGGAAGGTCATGCGGCGCGTCTTGGAGACACCCGCCTGGTTCGCCTGCGAGGAAAGGTAGAAGGGGGAGGG